AGTACAAACTGTAGCTTACATGCATTTATAAAGTAAATAAAGTGCACCAAGCACCTGCTCTGAATAGTTTGATACCTTTTCACCCTGACACTTAACATGTGAAGGAATCACTCTAAGCCTGATGACCCAATCACTCTCCCGGCGAAGCAGCAGTGAGTGAGACAGGTGACAGTTGGATGTTACGATACTTGCGGATGAATATCGATTTTTTTCTAGGAAAGAAAATATCGATATATATATCGCAAAATCGATATTATTACACAGCCCTAGTTTACACCTGTGTGGGAACGACAGAGACCTGCTGCTGCTGTGCAGAGCTACAGGTCTGTTAGAATCACGGCAGCAAACCAGCAAAGTCCAAAGAACTTTCCACAGTTTTCCCCCCAAACTAACCGACTGAGTTGAGTAAAGCTGCTGGATGCAGGTAAAGTTAGCTAAAATGTGACTAGCTAATATCAATACAGCACCTTAAGCTTGTTAACAAGTAGCCTGTAGTGTTGTCTATGTTCAGCTACGATTCATTTTGCCCCCCAAAATAAGTCGATGCCCCCCGTTAAACTCGTCTGGAGCCGGGGCTGCTGCCGTTTCTCCTGGGAGCTGAGCGCTGCTCTCCAGGTTTCCACAGCAACTGCAACAGTAACCGTGGTAACTCAAAGTGCTCACACTGAGCGTCCAGCAGGGGGCAGCAGCTGACTGCAGGAACGAGGAGCCACTTTTAAAAAGCAGCTCTGAACTTTTTAAAGTGAGGTTCTGGTCCTGATGAATTGGACTGGAGGAAACTAGAACCACCTGACCCAGAAAGCAGCAGAAGAAATGAGCTCACCAGTCTGCCCAGACTGCAGCTCCTTGTGGACCTGGACCAGGCTGGAGTTCAGGCTCTTCACCCTGCTCTGGACCCGCTCCTGGTTCTTCTGAACAGCGTCCAGGATTCCTCCATGTTGGATGAGGGACTGGTTCAGGCCGGAAACGTGGCTCCACAAACCCGACATGTGGTGATTCAGGCCTGCAGACAGAACCCAGCGACACGTTACAGTCCGACCCGACGGCTCCGGGATCAGGAGGACCCGTCCCGTAAATCCCAAAACAAACGCCGCTTTAATGAGGGCCGGCTGAATAAACTGCAATTATTAAAAACTCAACAGTCACCAAGCAAATAGCAGGGACGGTCCAGTGCTGTCCGGGGCCCTGGGCAGCCCAGGGAACCTGGGAGAGAGGCTGGGGTTTAATGAGCCCAGCTTAAAAGCAGTCAGTGGTTGTAAACTCAAATATCAAACTCAGCACCAGATTGTTGCTTTGGTAACCAAACAATATAACTATGAACTATTAAACAATAAACCTGCCAGCTCCTTAAAATCTTAAATTTAAATCAATAATTCAAAGCATTTTCATTTTGAAAGCATTAAGTTTTAGTGTATTTAACAGTGTAAATTTAACAGCGTTGTTATTCTGAATAAATAAATGTTAAAACTCCAGATGAGTCTGTGTTAAGATGTTAGCATTCCTGGGACCTTAAGCAGCTGCTGAGTTCATTTATGGCTTGGGCCGGCTCTGAATGTGACCAGCATGTGGATCTGAAGTGGGATTCAACAGAAGTGCAAAAAGTTAATAAAATGTATTTTAATTGCAAGTTTCTGGTTTGTTGTTAATAAGTCATCGACAATGTGCTGCACTAACATTATTACCCAGCAATATTTTACATTTTTAAAACAGAAACTGGGCGGCCCCCTGGTGGACGGTCCAGGCGCTACACTGCAGGACTCAGCAGGTTTTCTGAGGGAAACCCTGAACCTCATCATTCCTGATTGGGCAAACATCAGAAACAGGAAGGTTGGAGCGTCACTTCCTCTTGGTAAAACATGGCAGATGTTTACAGGGACGTGAATCAGATCTTAACGCAGCTCAAAATATTCCTGGGATCGGAGAAATTTGGATTTTTCTACTTAAAGGCACAGACTTCCTCAGCAGAGCTTTAGTGAACCTGACCTTCTTTGACCTTGGAGATGGAGTCGGAGACGCCGTCCAGCCTGGCGCAGACTCCCTCCAGCTTGGACAGCCTCTTCTCCAGCCCGTCTCCGGAGCGCCGGCAGTCGCCCGTCTCTGCCACCAGCATGCTCTCGAGGCGGCGGACGTCCTGGTCTGTCCGGTCCAGCCGCTCCTGGCTCCTCTGGACGTGCTCTGTCACTTCCTGCTGAATCTTGTCCAGCTCAGAGATGATCTTGTCCTTGGTGTTTCCTGCAGGAAGTCAGAGGGAGACGTGAAGCCGGTGCGGCGGTGCGTAGGGGCGGCGGCGGCGGGCTCACCCAGGTCGGTGATGACGCTGCCGTGTTTCTGCACGCTGTGCTCCAGGCCCTTCAGCGTGTCGTTGATGGAGCCGAAGGTGAAGATGATGTCGCTGAGCTCGCCCTGCAGCGTCTTCAGCTGGTTGCTGTTGAAGGATCCTCCGATCACGCTGTGGCCATCTAAAGGCTTCTCTGCGTCCAGGCCCGGCCCGAAGCCTCCGGCAGCAGGAACTCCGGTGGAACCGTTACCTGCTGGGCGCAAACGTTTATTTACGTGAGTCTGATGTTCACATCTGACCACTTACATGTTGATCTAAACGTATTGATCTAATTTATCTGGGAAGTTTATGAGGTTTATCTGGGAGCTCACTGTCCTCTGAGACGCTCAGAGACTTTATGCAGAAAACAGACGCCATCTTTCCCCTGGGGGGCGCTACGTTCCGGATTCATCTCCTGTTTTTGCCTTTTTAATCCCTCCTAAATGACTCAAATCATCAAACAAATATCAGAAAAAGACAAGAGGAGTTGCTTTCAAAGAAGGACGCTTCCAAACCAACAGTGGTGGACGCCAGCTACAACGTTAGCTACGCTAATGCTAAAGCATAGACATCAGACCGGCTAATGCTAAAGCATAGACATCAGACCGGCTAATGCTAAAGTGCTACACCAGCAAGCCGGTTCCACAGTGGGCCTTTTACCAGCTGCACAACATTCAGGACCAGAGAAACTCATCAGGCTTTGATCCTGCAGCAGGTCAGGCTGACAGACCAACGACCCAGAACCCTGCTGGTCCAGTTCCCTGCTGGTCCAGAACCCTGCTGGTCCAGAACCCTGCTGGTCCAGAACCCTGCTGGTCCAGAACCCTGCGGCTGGTTCAGAACCCTGCTGGTCCAGTTCCCTGCTGGTCCAGAACCCTGCTGGTGGAGTTCTGACTAGAACCAGGAGGATAGAGACACCACCCGGTTCTACTCCACCCGGTTCTCTTCTAACTACAGCTGGTAGGTTCTGAATCACTGAACGGTCCAGCAGCACCGTGAAGATCTGCTGTTTCTGTATCAACCTTCCTGACCACTCAGATCTTCCGGTTCTGGTTCTGCTCTGCATCCCCAGAACCAAACATGGAGAAGCAGCATTCAGCTTCTATTCACCACAGATCTGGAACAAACTTCCAGGAAATTTAAAAAAGCTGACGCTATCCGACCAGAACCAGAACCAGAACAGGAACCTGTAGCCGGGATAATTGTAGTGATGAAGAGCCTGATGAAGGTGGGCCTGACCTGTGAAGGACCCGGTCCCGGTCCCACAGCGCTCCGAGCATCTCCGGACCTCGTCTCGCAGCGAGCGGACGTCGTCCTGCAGCGGCGAGCAAACCCGGCTGCAGCCGCCGCCCTCCGAGTCCAGCCGGGTCTGGATGGAGCCGACGCGGTTCTCCAGGTTCTGCAGCGCCTCCTGCATGGCGCTCAGGTCCTGGGACCGGTTCTGGAGGTTCTGCAGGTCCGCCTCCACGCGGCTGCACAGCTCACAGTCCTGACCCAGCATCTCCACCTCCATCACGATGCGGTTGAAGTTCTCACCGTTGTCACCGGTCAGCGACTTGATCGCCCGAACGTCGTGGCTCAGGTCCAGAACCTGGACAGACCATTTGGACCGCATCAGCCAATCACAGCTCAGGATTACATCATCAACACAGAACCTAAAGCTGAAACCATATATTTACATCCCCTGTATGAAAACACACAGGATGATTATTACCTCACTGTCTGACGTTACATCAGAACCGAATTATCCTGCTTCTACAATGGAGCATCACGACCAGAACCAGAACCAGAGGTTTCACTGTTTGGTTTCACTGTTTTTAAATGACGAGAATGAAGTCATAATGTTTTATTTGAACAAGGACACAATTTTACCAGAACAAAGTCATAAATTACAAGAAAATTTTATTTTACTGATAAAAATCTTGTTGGAGTTCAGGATCTGAGACGAGCGACTCGGTCCGCCTGGTTTTACGTTTCATTTCAAAGTTCTGGTGCTGATAACAACGTGATGTGTTAAAAGATGAAATATTAACTTACGTGTAAAACTGAGACCAAAGTAGAAGATGCTCAACATCTTCTTAATTTTTCATGAAGGGCATTTAAAATTAAAGATAAAGGTAATTTTATTTATATAGCAGATTTTCAGCAACAAGGCAATACAAAGACCTTTACATGAATTAAAAGGAAATACAAACAAAATAACAAACCAAAGAAAAGAACAGAATAAGAAAAAGCTACTAATGTTGATCCAAAGTAAATAAACTAAATGTTGCTGATTAGATCAGTTTCAATCCTCTGGTCTAATCCCTGTTCTGGGTTGCAGTAACGAGATTCTCTCTGCATCTAAATAGTGAGTTTCTAAAATATAAGCTAAAGAGTGACGAATCTAATCCCTATATAATTACTACTTCATTCTGAAAATTGTACAATTATTAGTTTATTCTCATGTTTTTATGATGTTTTTCTTGTAATATTACGATGTTATTGTCATAATATGTAAGCCTGAAACAGGAAAGGTTTTTCCCAGGGCTGCACCGACTGCAGTTTTCTGGCCAATGGCCGATATTTTATAAAGCCCAACTTACTGATTTCGATTTTGGCCGATACCATGTTTTTGTCTGAAATGTTGCTCAAAATAACAAGAAAGTTGCTGAATCGGCACCAATGGAGCGACTGTTGTTAACTGTAAAAGTGCAGACCTGACCTGGTCGGCCGGTCTGTCAGTCAAACCTCTAACAGGAGAAAGGAAAAGCACTTTTGCTGAGATTAATAACATCTGTGGATAAGATCGGCTTTATATGTAAAAATCATCCGATCACTGATCTCCCAATATTAAGGAAATGGGCTGGCCGATAAATCCGTGTTTTTCCTACAAGCTGAGAAGTTTTCCCTGGAGCTGAAGCCTGTAGGAAACGGTTTGTGTGTTTCCATCGGATCTGGTCTCAGCTGCAGTTCTGCTGGTGTCGGTAAATCACAGCGTGTTTTGGAGAAGGTGGAGCGCTGAACTCACCCGGTCATGCAGAGAGTCTCCAGACACCGACAGGTCCTTCAGTCGAGTGTTGAAGTGTCGAATCTGACCCTCGTTGGCCACAACTCTCCACTCCAGAGATTTCTTGGTCGTGTTTTCTCTCCCGCCAGATAAACCTCCACCTGTTCCAGCGCTTCCTGCTCCACCCCCACCGGATCCTGTGAAACCTTCCACAGTGTCTCCGCCTCTTTCTTCTCCTTTACCTCCACCTGCTCCAGAAGCCCCTCCCCCACCTGTGCAGTGGCACTCCTCCAGCCTCTTCCTCGTCTCGGCCGTTTGGTTCTCCAGCACCGACAGTCTCCTGTCCTGCTCCAGCAGGTTGCTCTGCAGCTGCTCCACCTCCAGCTCCACGTCTTCGATCCTGAAGGTGCGGTCGTCGAAGCGGTGTGAGAACGCCGTCCGCAGGTCGTCCAGCTCTCTCTGGACAAACTCCCTCAGGTCGGCCTCCAGGTGAGAGCAGGCCTGCAGAACGCTGCTGTTGATGCGGAGCTCCAAGTCCTTCAGGAGATTCAACCGAACATCGGTCAAACCATTGCCTCCTCCAATTGCCCCGCCTGTAGCTCCTCCTCCTCCGATGGCTCCTCCCCCTCCCTGGGATTCTCCACCGTCGCTGCCGGGCCTCAGGCGGTCCAGTAGGACGTTGAAGCTCTCTGAGGCCGAGCTGATCTTGTTTTCTGCGTCGCTCATGCGGTTTTGCAGGTCGTCGATGGAGCTGCAGCATCTCTGGGAGCGCTGGAGCTCCAGTCGAAGCCTTTCGGCGTCCTGTCGGTGGCGAACGTCGGCGTCATTCAGCTGCTTCTCCAGAGCGCGGATTCTCTCCTGGTCCTGTTGCTGCTGGCGCCGCAGGTCCTCCACGCCGGCCTGGGAGCAACAGAGCACACCGTGAGCTTCCCGAAGGCCCGGACGCCGGGCGGAGCCAAACCCGGAGGATTTACCTGACAGGAGGAGCAGGACAGCAGCACTCGGCGCTCCAGCTCCTTCAGGACGCTCTCCTTCAGGGAGCTCAGCTGCTCTCCACTCAGTCCTCCAGGGGAAACGTCTCCGTCCAGATCGTTGCCCTTCCCGTTCACCAGGTGGTTGTTAATGCTCACCAGAGTTTTATCATGAGCCTGATGGGACACAAGCAGGTGCGGTTAGCATCCATCCAACGTTTTTGAGCAAATGGCAGGTAAGCAACAAATGAATGAATTAGGTCAACAGAAGAGCACAACGCATAGACAAACAGGGCTTTAATTAAATAAACACGAAAATTCACATGTACAAATCGTTTTCATTCGTTTTATTCTGTGAAAACAGTTTTAATTTAGCTTTTTATTTGTCTCATTTCTTCTATGTCATGTTTCTTTGGAATGAACGTTGTTTAAATGTTTTGATGTGGTTCAGCTACAGACCCAACTTGAATCTGTAGAGAAAGTCAATAATTAGGTCAATTAGGATTTACTAATTTGGGACTTAAATCTGGAGGTTAAATAAATCATCAGTTTGATAAAGGGCCCTTTAGAGAATATCTGAAGTGAGATTTGAACTTCAGATATTCTGATGGTAAGAAGACCTTCCAAGCCTCCAAGACTAGGAGCTCTAAAGACTAATCATCCAGATCACAGTGGAAACATGGGGATGGCGGAGGGACCCTGCTGCTGTGCACCTTGGTTCGGTTGTCCAGCTGGTCCAGTTTGGTCTGAATGCTGTGGATCGTCTCTTTGATTTCGGGCGGCGCAGCGTCTGCTGGGTTCTTTCCGGGTCTGACAAGTTCATGGTGGAGGTGTTCATTCATGGTGGACTGGAAATCCTGCAGCTTCTCCGTCAACCTCTGGATCTTTTCCTCCAACTTCCTGATTTCCTCCCGGTCCTGTCGTCCTGGAAGGGAAGGAACGCCCCCAGCTTTCAGGTTTCATGTTCAGACACCAACAGGAGAAATCAAACAGCATCAACTGGAACGAAATGAAAGAGATATGATAACATGTCTGAGGTTTCCTGTGAGCTTCCTGTACGTAAAGTTACTCAGTCAAAAATTAACTACAATAATTTGTTACTTAGTTTATAAGAGAGAAATAAGGGTTACTTTTTCATTCATTTATAAATGTCACAGTTTCAAACTAAATATTTAAATATTTGTTTGCAAACATATTTTGCATCAAACTACAAATATAGTTAACAAGCTAAATATTAACCTTCAAATTAAATATTTAATTAATGAGTTAAATATTTGATTTCTGGCTAAATATTTGACTAAATATTTAGTAAGTTCAATATTTAGTTTACAAAATAAACATTCAGTTCAGAATTAAATATCTACCTACAAACTAAATATTTAACTTGCTAACTATTTAGAAGAATTTAAAACTAAATATTATACACCAACTGTAAACTAAATATTTATTTTGGAGCCAAATATTTCTTTATAAACTAAATATTTAGCTTGCTAATCTGATCCCTAGCTTCTTATTAAATATCTGGTCCACTTCTTAGGAAGCTAAATATTTGAATTGCAGCTAAATATTTTAACTAACAAGTTACATGTTTAGCTTGTTTACTAATAATTTAGAAAGACAAATATTTACATTGAAGCTAAATATTTAGCTTGCTAACTAAACATTTTATTTGAAACTGTAACATTTATAAATGACTAAACAGCCATAGCCTCTTATAAACGGCTATTTAGCCCAAATCATTGCTGTTAAAAGGATCCAGGATCAGTTAACATGTTGGCCTAAATATGTTGCAATTTTCCTACTACCTAAAAATTGCTGTTTTTAGTTCTGGCGTAATTATGAGTTACACCAGAACTTATAATTACTTCAAAAATGCACATCTTTTGTTGTATTTGATGGGTTGATGGCGTCATCAGGGCCATTCTGTACTGAAATCTACAGAGTAAACACAGGAAGGCTAACTTTACCACAGGACTTGTTTATCATATTGTGTTTGACTGGTGTCATTTTAGATCATGCCACACGGTGTCACTATCGGCTGTTAATGAAAAATTATAATAATAAAAATTGAGGCGAATCTGGATAATTTCCCACATGAAAGAAAGGAGAGCGCAGTGCGAGAAGGAGAGAAACACAATGAAGGACCTAATCTGGACCCTGGACATTTTTCCACAACACTTTGAGCCATTTATACCAGCAGAACCAACGAAGCTAACAGGTAATCGTTACCTTAACGAGCTAAAAATAAATGCTAACGAAGCTATTACTGCTGGAAATGCTAACGGATCTGGATCACCGGTACTGAATGTGAAACCACCACCAGTAACAGCTGTTGCCTAACTGGACTCAGAGCTACAGAAGTACTTACCGGATCGCACAGTGACCAGAGGTGAGTCTCATTCATTGTTTCATTATGAACCTGAAAGCGGCAGCAGCTCCTACGGCCAACTCTTCCTCTGTTTGCTCCTCCTCTTCGTCGCCTCTTGTTATTTCCACGTTCTGATCGGTTTCAATGCGCTCCGCTTCAAATCTAAGGCTGCGTTCACACTGCAGCCTGAAGTGACCCAATTCCGATTTTTTTGGTGTAATGTGACCTGTATCTGATCTTTTCATGGCAGTGTGAACAGCACAGGTCGGATTCTTTTTCGAATGTGATCCATATCCGATACGTATCCGATTCAAATGCGACCTAACGTCCAGGTCGCCTTCATCAGAACTGAACGTCACTGTTTCTCAACAAATCTCACTATTCTGCGTCCTGATAAGCGCAAGTGGGAAGAAAAACAACAACCATGACAGATTATATGAGGATTAAGTTGTTAATATGCTGCTCCGGTTGGACAACAACTTCAAATATGTAAGCTAAGCTCCACCGTTAGCCTCCATGTTTACTTCCGCAAACACTGAGCACTTCTTCTTTTCATGGCAGTTGGCAGAACAATGAGAACGCTGACGCTATGGCGCCCTCTACTGCGCATGTGGGACACTTTCAGGTCGTTTGCCCGTTCACACTGCAGAACGCATACAGGTTACATTTATTGGCAGTGCGAACGGCCCGGCAAAAAAATCGGAATTGCCAAAAAATCAGAATTGAGTCACTTCAGGCTGCAGTGTGAACGGGCAAACGACCTGAAAGTGTCCCACATGCGCACTAGAGGGCGCAATAGCGTCAGCGTTCTCAGTGTTCTGTCAATTGCCATAAAAAGA